CAAATGTACAAATGTGGTTGACACATGGATGTATGTATGGATTGTGATAAGAATTGTACGATCCTCCAATAAAATGATTTTTTTTAAAGATGTTTTTGTGGCTAGAGCCATTTAGAGCACTTTTCTAAGAGCTGCATTTTAAAAAGTGGGATTGAAGTCAAAGAAAACTATTGTAACTGATATCTGGTCTTAAATGTATTTGTAAGAATTCTAAGCATCTCTAGACATTAAAAGTAGTTTCTGAGCAAAGAAGCAAAAAAAAAAAAGCATCCGATTTATAGCAAAATGGACTTACCACAGAGTTGCTGGAATGGAACCCAGTCATAAGTCAGGGACTCCCTGTCCCAGAACAGAACACGTGGGCTAAGAAGATGGTGAGGTCACCCGTCATTCCCTTGATGCGTTCATCGTGGTGCAACATTCCCTGAGATCTTATCCGAACTGTAGAACCATGGCTTAAAAGAGTTCTGAACCGATGTACCTCTGTTGCCCATTTGCACGTAACTTTTAACATAATTGAAACAACACTCGAAATTGTTTTATTATGCAGCTTCTTTCTTGTTGGTGGCACTTAGGGTTCTAACTTTAAATGTTGATTTTTTTTTTTTCATTTTCCCCCTCTTCTTCACTGAACATGGGGCACTGATTCATTGTACCTTTTGCATAACCAATTGCTGTTAAGTCAATTCTGATCCGTGTGTGTCAGAGTAGAGGGAAGCTCCATCAGGGTTTAAATGGCTGAGTAAGTGCCAGAACTTCCCGCAGAAGTACTACTGGTGAAATCTCACCTCCAGCCTTTGGTTGGCAGCCAAGCATGGTAACTATTGTGTGTTGTGTTGGCACGTTGTTGTGGTTAGGTGCTGTGGAAACAGTTCTATTAGTGACGCTATGCACAACCAAAACACTACTAGGTCATGGGCCATCCTCACAGTGATGGCTTTATTTAATCTGATTGCTGCTGCCACTCATCCATCTCATTGGGGGAGACCCTCTGTGTCTCACTGATGCGCCACTTTATGAAGCAGGATGTCCTTCTCAAGGGACTGGTCCCTCCTGACAACTTAGTGAGACAAGTCAGTCTTCTGGAATTCCCATTCTTTGCAATGTTATGTCTTTGCCATATACCCCTTCATTTTCCAGCCCACTCACCCTAATGACACGTTCAAGCTTTCCAGAAATTTCCTGAGGTTTCCATGCCTTTACTCTCTACCCCTGCTCCAACACTTCCTAAGTATTGCCAGATTCCTTCATCTAGACGACCGTCATGGTCGTCTAGACCCACCATCATGGTGGGACTTGAAAACTTTTGGTGTTCAACTGTCCTCAAAACGAAGCATAAACTCTCGGATGAGCAGTCAGCACTGCTCCCCTTCTGCCTCTCACTGTGTGTGTCCCAGAGTTGTTTGCAGTGAAGTTGTTGAGCGCTTTCTTTCACTCAGATCCACAATCAGCATTCATGGAAGCAGCAGTCAAGACATCAACTAACGTATTGTCCTGGGCAAATCTACTGCAAGGTGTCACACTGAGGACTGGCCCAAGCCAGGGTGCTCTCAATGGCCTCATCTGTATATGAAGATGGGACAATGACTGAAGAATTGTTGCATTTGAATTATGATGTTGACACAGAATATGGAAAGCACCATAACCTACCTGAGAAAGGGAGGCTACCTAGAGGAAGCCCGACCAGGGTGCTCTTGAGAAGCAAGGGTGGCGAGACTTTGTGTCACACACTTTACACATGCTATCAGGAGAGTTTGGTCGCTGGGAAAGGATATCACGCTTGGTAAATGTCAGGGTAGCCAGCCCCTAACAAATCATCATGGTAGGCACAATTGTACAGCGATAATAAGTGAAGATTATGTAAAATCAGAGAGAATATGAGAGATTGAAATAACGGAGTCAGACACATTTCATGGTAGCATGCTCACCTGCGGTTCCACCTCGGCTCCTCTTGGTGGAACAGGACAGGAGAGAGAGAGAGAGAGAGAGATTGATTTATTGCTAACCAAAGCTTATAAATCTTTTATGGGGGACGTGCAAGCCCCCTAATTACAGGTAAAGACATACGTCACAGGAAGGGGCTGTACCATAGGTAATACAGTAATGGGAGGGGGACAATCTAGGGGTATACACACAATAGAAAGAGGAGGGATTAAGGGTACACAAGTGACAAGATGGGCGGATCCCAGATTCATGACGGTAGCCTAACCTTGATTGTCCTAGAGCTGGAGACTTTATTTAGCCAAAGCTTTCAGGGGAAGCAATCCACTGACCCTAACAGCAGGGAGTGAGTCCTACCCACTGTGGGAGAAACAATGGTGTGTGCTTGTTCTGGAAGGCTGGAGTCTTCAGGGAGATACCTTGACAACCATTTACCATTAGTTGCAAGCGGTGTCCTAAGACTAACATATGTATTGGGGGGAGACGAGCTGGGGAACAGTCTTTCTGTATCCCACAAGTAAAGCTGATAGCCACTGAGGAAGGGGGAGACCACCAATGAGTAGTTGCCACAGGGGACTCCAAATTTAACAAGCATAAGGACAGGGCAGGCCTGGACAGTGTTTTGTACTGCTGTACATAAGGCTGCTATGAGCTGGACTGAACTGCATCGAACAAAAACAGTTATCTCCATGAATCCACCACTGCCACTAGAGTAGGAGCCCTGAAGCATCAATGGGTAAGCTCTTGGCAGCTTCCAGCTGCTCAGTGGGGAAAAGATGTGAGGATCAGCTTTCATAAAGCTTACTCCAGTGGGAACCCAAAGGGGGCATTCAACCTGGCCTATAAGGTTGCAAAGAACCAGGATCAATATGATGGCCAGGGGGGTTGGTTTTTGACTGCTAAATTGATCCTCTTAAATTTCCACCTCTACCTGTTGGAGAGTTTGTTTTTACCTGTTCCTTCTGACCAAAGAGCTGCCCCCCTTTCGCTTTGCTTGCCTGAGCTGCACCACTTTTTAAAAGTCTTGATTCCCTCATGAAGCCTTGTAAGTCTCAGTGGCCTACTACTCTTGCCTACATTTCTGGAGCATTTATTGTTTGTGTCATTCATTTAGCACATAATAATACTTACTGTAGTTTGATTTGTAGCCCTCTCAAAATATGTATTGCAAGTCCTAACCCTTATACCTGTGGTTATACTACAACTGGGGAGTGGGTTTCCTTTGGCATGTTAGTGAGACAGTATTCAGGTAGGGTGTGCCTTAACAATTTTTTCTGAGATTAAGCTAGCAGGAAAAAGCAGAGATGGGGCCAGATAGATGCCACTCCAAGCAATAAGGACTTTCACCAAGATTTGACCAAGGCTCTGGACTTCTAGTCCCTTAAATTGTGAAGAAATAAATGTCTGTTTGTTAAAGTCACCCACTTGTGCCATTTCCGTCACAACAGTGCTCAGTAACTAAGACAGTACTACTTTGCCTTCTCTGCATGAATGTGCTCTTTCCTTCTAGCAGTGGCTGACTATAGTGTGCTCAAACTCACAGCTATCAAGTTGACCATGAATCATAACTGTTTCAGAGAACTGTGTACTCTGATTCAGGGTAGGATTGTCTGATTGTCCTGGTCAGTTTCCAAGACTGTAATGCTAGAGGAGTAGAAAGCCTCATCTTTCTCTTGCGGAGTGACTGGTACAAATGGCGTGCCTTGCAACTAGCAACCTAACTCATAATATATTCAGCTACCAGTGCAGTGGTTTGGAAGTCTTCTGGATCCAGTGGCGTTGGAAGCATCTCAGTGCTGGCAGGGGTCTCCACATGGCTTCTCCAGCACCCAGCACTGCATCAGGGTAGGTCCATGTGGCTTTTCCTTAGGGATGTCTCGCAGGGAGTCAGCCTTGTCAGTAGAGACTCTCCATGGGAGTGAGCAGAGAGTCTCTCCCACCTCCAAGGAGGAAAAACCAGATTTTCCCAGAATTCTCAGGAGAAGGCCATACCCACACAAAGGCCTCAGACTATGATCCGATTGGCAAACTCGACTCTACCCTTTCATTCTTAATCCTACCAAGTCCCAAATTGACAGAGTATGTAACTACCACAGTACCTAATCAGTGCAGTGCTAAGTAATGCCCTTGGGAGCACCCTGAAAGAAGGGCCTGACAATCCACTCCCAGATCACAGCCATCGAAAACCACCGTACTGAGCACAGTCTACTCTTCTACCTGTGGGGTTAACATGAACCAGAATTTATCGCAGTGGGTGCTGGTGGAGGATCTATCTCAAATTTTAGTCTCCTTTTTAAGATACAGTGAGTGGCATGTGAACTTACCAAAGACAGGAAGGTAAACCTAGGAAGCTAGTATCTGATCACATCTCTGAGGGAGAAAGATGAGGCTTTCTAATCCCCTAAAGATCTATAGTCTAGGAAACCTACCAGAGCAGTTCCACCTTGCCTTAAGGCGTTGCTGTGAATTAGAATTGACTCGATGGCAGTGCGTTAGTTTACAAAGTGTCTTGACAAATTAATTCATTTACTGTTTTAGCAATTCAAGGACACGGGCAATATTCTAAGGAGTATCATGGCCTCCTTTTAGGATGAGAAAAGAGGCTGAGAAGGTTACGTACTATGAGACTTAGGCCTAAAGACGACAGACTCGGGACGCTAAATTTAACGGAACATGGACAGACTTTAGGACCTAAACTTAAACAGCCTTAGTTCAAGCACAATGCTATCCACACCACCATGCAGCTGTTAAGAACAGCTGAAGCAATACAAGGGCTTCGTATGCCCCTTGACCGCATCATCTACCGCTTACGCAGTGGAAGGACTTTGGGGAGGAGGAAACTCGGAGCCTGCAAAGAAAACCGGGCTCTCCCCATCTGCGCTTGCGCAGGCGAGGCGCACGCCCAGGAGGAAGCTGCCCGGGACTTTGGGTTTGTTTGCGCAGACGCAGAGCTACGTCCGGGCGGAAGTGGGCGTCTGGGGCTCGGGCGGCGGAACCACCCGACGGGAAAGGAAGGTGGCAGCTCCGGCGCGGCGCAGCGCGCATGCGCGGGCAGACCTCTCCGGTGACGGCTCGAGGCGGACCGGGGCCGCCAGCTGGGTCGGAGCGGAGCGGCGTCAGGATGGACGAAGACGTGCTGACCACCCTCAAGATTCTCATCATCGGCGAGAGTGGGGTGGGCAAGTCCAGGTGAGGCGGCTCTGGGGCGGCAGCCGGTGTGCGGGTCGCCCTGAGGGCGGCGGAGTCGCTCTGCCTTGTGGGCCGCGACGGGAGCGGTCAACGGCCGCGGCCCGGCTCG